AATCACTAAATGAACTTTAGTAACAAGCTAAAACCGCGGGAACAGTATTTGATGTTTAAATATCTATCAATCAAGTACAAAAATTCTTATATCATTTACTTTCATCGCTAATTTAAACAAATCAATGTTTAAATTAGGTTTGTGCAAAATTTCCTGGAATTGTCTTTATTGCTATTAAACATATATTATATTAAACTGACACGTCAACTGTTCTAGACACAGCGAAACATTATCCGACTCAGCAAACAATTTTATCCCGGATAAAAGTCAACGCGGTTTGAATGAAACGTCGCCATCTACAGTAAAAACTATTCTTTTCATCTATTTCGTTGTCTGCGTCCATCGCAGTACCAATTCAATGAAGAATAACAGAAAACTGAGCTGAGATTTAAAAAATTTGCACATTTAGATTTCATAGTTTGTGCGGAGCCGAAAAATACGAGACCACCGTTCATTTCCTGCAAAGACTCGCAAAATTTGAGCAGCTGTTGATTGTTTCAGAGCTGCAGAGATTTCTCAGTATCTGGACGATGACCAGTAATCTATAACAGGTTGGTTGCATGATCTGTGAAAGATGTGCATAAAAGCACAGTGTTTTAAACAATATGTGTATAAATAGCGCAATAACGAAATACAGGAACTCATGGAGTATTCATTGCGCGCATGAGGAAGTCGTAAAACTCACTGCTTTAATTCTGGCGAATCAGCATAATTTTCAGGGCCTTTGTCTTCATCTACGTTCTATCATTGGTCATTAAATCCAAAAATGTTATTCATTTTCGAATTGCATTTTTCAATATGTTATAATCGTTGTTAAGGAAGTTTGCTGACCATGATTTGTTTTCCCGATCGTTCTTTAAGTCTCACAACACAATCTGCCCTACTAATTACTGACTTCCGTTAAAATATATTTAATATTTTTAAGCATATTTTCTGAGCCCAGGGGCGTGAGCCGGTATACTCATATTGTGCTGAATAACGCTTTTAGTTTTGGTTTTATACTGAAGAAATCCATTCGTTAAATAAAAAATCCTTGTTTGTTGATCAAGTTTTGGCTTTGGAAATAAGGATAGGAAAGTTCTCATTACAATAGTTATCAGTTTCTTTGTTTCCTCCGCAATCAATTCAAACTATTGCCTACTTTTGTAGTTAAATTGTCTGCACTGGACATAAAATTCGTTCAATGATCCTTTTTGCTTATAAACTTATTATCAATATTTTAAGCCCGAGAACGAAGTTCTATTCAGGTTTTGGCATTTATCTTTGCTATCATATTGGAGATAGTATTTGCACATGTTTAATATGCTGATGGCAATTAATACCCTGAATCAGAAATAACCTTTATCTATTTCACGCAGCTGCCTTGTTACTAAATCCAAGTTTTTGAATGATGAAAAGCGCCGTTTTGCATTGTGGTCAACTTTCGGCAATGATGCACTTCAAGATGATACATTATGCCATATTTCGTCGTCGCGCGATCTTATATGTTTGTGTGCTGTTTGCACGGACATAGATTATGATTAACTACAAGGAACCACTTCAATGGAATCAATATAAAGACGAAAGTGCTCGCCAGGAAGGGAAGAGAATTATATATGAAATAGAATTGTGACCAGTTGCGTAAAAATACAAAATTTGCAAAAATGTTGCATGTTTAACCAGAACAAAACTTAAGCTATTCCTTACTACTTTCCACGGGAAAATATCTTTTGCCAATGTCAGAAGAGAGAGAACTTAATATGAAATACAAGTCTTGCTTACACAGCTGACATTTAAACATGCTCAGCACGATTAAGAACGATAAAAATCACAATAAAGATTTATTAAGTAGTTCAAGTCTTCTTCGACAGAAGACAGTCTAATTAGTTTGTGGCTGCTGAATATCGTTAGCTTAAACACTACAAACTATTTATGATTTAAATGCTCTTTGAACCAAAGAGCGACTGCAACGAGAATTTAGGTTATAATTCCTATTCGAGATCATGCTGATCTTTCAGTATCGGGATTACGCTGCGGCTGTCATCTCTGCGTGTGAATGTAAATACATGCTAACTGCGTACGACACATTTTCGACAATGGGAGAAGATACCCACATCTACCATACCTTGTACAAACATGGCTCAGCAGAGCCCGTTGTAGCGAGTTGGCATCTGCTTGAATATTCCGTAGTTGCATTCTTACCTATGCTTTTCTCAGGAATGTCACGTCTTGTGCAAAGCACTTAATCTAAGGCAATTCGGTTTTATATGTCCACTTTGATAATTTATGCGCAATTTTATTAGCACAAGCTAACCCTTT